CATGCTGATCTCGGCCCATGGTCATCTAGTGCGCTCAAGTCCGGTTCAAGCTGAGCAAACCGCTCCTCAGTCTCGTCTGGTACCCCGCGAGCTTCCAGTATTTCAGTGGCAAGGCAACGAGTGGGACCACACACAGAAGGTCTATGCATCTATCGAAGAATGCCTGGACAAGTTTGAGGATGTGCTGCACTCGTACAGCATGGACCTCAACGTCGACTGGCACCGTCTCCTCCCAATTGTATTGTCACGCGAGCAAAGATCCTGGTTTGACAACTACTTGCGCAGTTCCCCAGAACTCCCCTGGTCCTTTGCTCGGGATGCCTTCATCAAGGCATATGGAATCAATGACCTTGAGAGACGCGTTCAGCTCACACATGAGCTGATGCTCATGCGTATGCGAACCACAGAGTCCGTCAGCAACTATACGGACAGATATCAGAGGGTACGCCACGAAGCTGATGTAGCCGATAATATGCAGGCTGCCATTGCCTACACTTCCACGCTGCTACCAGAGCTTGCACGCCAGGTCTCTCTCCTTCAGGTCAACATGCCCAGAGAAAAGCGTGACACAATTGACAAAGCTGCGTCTCTGGCCAGGTCTATTTACAGCACAGTATTCCTAACCGCCCGTAGCAATGAGCCCGTGGCCAGGGCACACACCTTGGGTTCTGAGCAGGTGTCCCGCACATCTTCTTCGTCTTCTGCTGGGCGCTCATCTGGTTCATCAAGGGAGAACGCTCAAAGCCGTGAGCGTTCAACTCACAAGAGATGCTCCCTACATGGTAAAGGTAACCATGACACTGAGGATTGTCGCATCCTCAAGAATGCACTTGCCACCAAGGGCGGCAATCGGGTGGAGAAGGCACCCCACACCAACAAGTACGTTGGTTCTGCTCCCTGTTGTTGGTGCGGTGAAGTTTGGTCTCACAAACACCGCTGTTCTTCGGTCTCTGGTTCCTCCAGCTCTTCTGGTTCTGCGTCTGGCTCTCCCCAGGGTTCTGCTCCCCACTTCGCCGTCCGCTCCATCCACACTGTCACCAACGACAGTACTCCCTCAGATGCCAGCTCATCTGAGGACGACCAGTCCATGGTCATGGACTTTGAACAGTGCTCCACATGTAAGTATACAAGCACTCACACAGATCACAATAAACGATCTACTCACTCCTATCTTGTTCCTATCTCTTTAGAGGAGGAGAAACTGTGGGCATTGGTGGACACAGGGGCTACTATCAGTTCCGTCAGCACCAAGATCTGTAGCAAGTTGGGCTGGCCCACAATTCCGCGCAACGGAAAAATTGTGTTGGCCACTAACAACGCTATAGCTCATAGACTAGGAGTAACAAAACCAATAAAAGTTTTTTATAACAACAAGCATATTATACATTCATTTGAAGTTTTGGATCTTGCTGAGAACATAGATGTTAGCATTGGTACAGATTTAATGCCAAGTCTAGGTATTCATTTACTTGGACTAGCAGAGAGTTGGTACGGTTCTAATACACCTCAGACTCCAACACCCATAGCAGAAATAGAAAAACCCAATAATGCACCAGCTGGCACACCCACTGAACACTCTCAATTCATGAAGGCTCTACTACCCTTTATTAAAGCAAATGAAGCCATACCCATCACTTCATTTTGTACAGTTAAGGAATCTATTGTACGACTACCAACACCTCCAGGCCAAGTAGTCTATAGACGACAGTATCCTATAGCTTTACAACTTGTTCCACTGATGGCCAAACATATAAACCAATGGCTTACTGATGGCACCATACAAAGGGCACCCGTCAATACTAAGTGGAACAGCCCACTTACATTCGCTCCTAAAAAAGATGAGTTTGGTAATCCCACAGGCAAGCGTCCTTGCTTAGATCCCAGAGCCATCAACACTCTGCTACCTGACGACAGATTCCCTCTGCCACTCATCTCTGAACTCTTTCACAGGCTACAAGGTGCAACAATCTTCACTACGCTAGACCTCAAGAGTGCCTTTCATCGATTCAAAATTCATGAAGACGATAGACACAAGACTACATTCACGTTTGAAGGCAATCAGTATATGTTTCGAGGATGTCCCTTTGGTCTCAAGCCATTGTCGTCCAAGTTTCAGCGAGTAGTCAATTTGATTTATCACGATACTCCATACGTCACTGCATTTGTCGACAACATCGTAGTTTTTTCCACTAACATGTCTGACCATGTTAAACACGTCCAAACGGCTATTCAAAAGCTCACGGATGTCAATCTCATTCTCAATCCGCAGAAATGTCACTTTGCACAAACTTCTGTATCGTTACTGGGTTTTACTGTAAGCACTAGAGGTATTGATCTTGATGCTCGCAAGGTTCACAATGCTACCATGTGGCCACAACCCAAGTCTGGCAAAGACATTCAACGCTTCATGGGTCTCGTCAACTATTTTCGTGAGCACATTCCCAACTTGTCGCAACTGTCTTCTCCTCTGGACAAACTACGCAATGCTGACTCACTACACGGGTTATGGACAGAAGAACAAACGCAAGCTTTTTCCAAGCTCAAAATTGCACTTACACACGCACCAGTACTAAGCCACCCTGACACAACCCAACCATTTCTGGTTGCCACAGACGCCTCCAACACAGGTATAGGCGCCGTGCTCTATCAGATTATAGACAACCAATATCACTACATTGGTTTTATGGCACGGTCACTTTCCAAATCTGAACGCAACTATCCTGTCACCAAACGCGAACTTTTGGGCATCGTTTATGCTTTGGCTAAATTCCATAAGTTCTTGTGGGGTAACAAGTTCACGTTGTACACGGATCACAAGGCTCTCACGTACCTTCACACGCAAGAAATTGCCAACCCTATGATGATAAACTGGCTTGATGTACTCTGCGACTATACTTATGACATAGTCCACCGCCCTGGCATTGACAATGTATTGCCGGATGTTTTATCGCGCCTTTTCACCTCGGAAAAACCGCTGGGGGAGGGTAAAACCGTAGAAATCTCTACGAAACATCCAACAAAGGACAGAAAACACAAAACACATGCCATTCAACGCATGCATAGCACAAGTGACATGATAATACCACCGGTCAAAGACAGACAGAATCTGCTTGACCAAGCACATCTACTTGGCCACTTTGGCACAGATGCCATAGTAAATGCTATACACAGTGACGGACTACACTGGACTAATCTCAAGCAAGAGGCAACAGAAACAGTAAAGCGCTGCTTGAATTGCCAATGGTTCAATGTCTCAAAACACAGCTATCATCCGCTGAAGCCTATTACAGCCAGTCAACCAGGTGAACACTGGGCCATAGACTTAGCTGGCCCATACACCACCTCACACAATGGCAATCATTACATGCTAGTAATGGTTGACATCTTTTCCTGATTCTGCATACTCCGCGCAATTCCAGATAAGACATCTTTAACAATTGCAAAACAACTCATTCAAATCTTTTGCGACTTCGGCCTACCCAAGGTTTTACAGTCAGATAATGGTACCGAGTTTGTCAACGAACTCGTCAAGACTTTCACAAATACAGCAGGAATTGATCATCGGCTTGTAACACCCTATCATCCGCGAGCAAATGGAGTTGCTGAAAAATGGGTACACACAGCCAAGGAAGTCATCAACAAGAGAACACAGGGAGCAAAGCGAGACTGGGACATATACATCCCAAGCACACAGCTAGCCATAAATAGCAAACATGCTAAGCTACATGGCACACGCCCATTCACTCTAATGTTTGCAAGACAACCAAACGATTTTGCTGATTACAGAAAAACAGAGAGCATGCACAACGCTCCTAACAGTCTACCAGATATGAAAAAAAGAATTGAACAAATGGAGACTGTCGTATTCCCAGCAATCTGCGAATGCATCAAAGCTACACAAGCTGCTGATAAAGGAAAACACGACAAAGACCATAAAATAATAATGGAGTTCCCGAACGACAGCAACGTGATGATAAAGAACATATTAAGAAAGTCTAAGATGGACCCAAGATATGAAGGACCATTCACAGTCAAGGGCAGAACAAAGGGAGGCAGCTACATTTTGCAAGACGAAACGGGAGCACTTCTATCACGAAACATCCCACCTTTGCAGATAAAGCTGATCTCACAAGATACTGTTATATCTCCAGATAGCTTTTACGAGATACAGGCCATCATTGATCATCGTCAAGAAAAAGGCGACTACCTTTACAGAGTGCGCTGGAAAAACTATGCACCAGATCAAGACACTTGGGAGCCCACAAGCAATTTCAACGATCTGAGCATAATTGACAAATATTGGCAAAGACGAGGTCCAGAGAAACCCACCAATAAATCTACAATTATACATAACAAGCGTACACATCCAGCACAAGAGCCTACACGCTTTAGTAAACGTACACGCAAATAAACAACAGCAACATTGCAGACACATATACCTCCGCATGCAATTCAAACGGTTGTACCAACCTGGAGGGGGGTAATGTTGTATCCAACATAATCGTAGATTTAAATTAAAAGTACAGACACTCAATAAATACGTACATTGAGTTACCAACAACTAGTAACGATACTAAAAGATATACCTTCCCTTATACAAGGAAATTACATAAAGAACATACTAAGACAAATACTAAGACTCTAGTCAATAACACTAAAAACATAAGAACTAAATCATAGAAGATAATGGTAGAGAAACAGACATTACATGATATCATCATATCATCACCAAGCTAAATACAATGTCTATATAAACGCACAATACTAATAGCAATAGAACAGGATCTCTTTTCTGATTCTTGCACTTCTTCTAATAAAACAAAGTCTCACCGTACTCTCGTCTGCACTCGTTTTATTTTATATCTTATTTTTACCTCATACATAACAAACAGGCAAAAATATTATTTATTATTATTATTATAAAGACATAGTAAATTTAGTAAACGTTGTACTTGTTTCCTTTTTCTCTTAACACTTCAAAGTAAAAATAAATAAACATTATGTCCACAATTCCTGAACTCTACAATGAAAAGTGCCATTGTGCTGGATGTAGTCAGAACGATCTCGGCTATAGTTTTGTTGCCAGAAGAACTGCTCAACGTCATAACAAAAGGGCAAGACTAAATGCCATAAGATGTGAAAGGGGTACAATATTTGAATTTATTTAATTGTATTGTAATCCATGAAATAACGTGTTGTAATAGACATGTCTACCCAAAGAAATATGATGGAGGTCAATGATGAACGTAAGGTTTATTTAATTCAGATACCATTAGATATTAACCAAGTGTTATATTCTAAATGTAGCTATCTTAACCCATCAACCCGGAGCCCTGGAAGAATCGTACACTCAGACAAACTCACCTGTTTGGGAAGGAGCTTCAATGTCTGACACTGAAGACGTTTCCGTTACTAATGATGCGATCAGCAATGGCGACAATGATGACAGTGGAAGCAACAGCAATGAAATCAGTGAAGACGAAAGCGAAGATGATGTTATTGAGCTCGACGACAATGAATTGAATAGTGAAGGTCAGTTAGTGTTAAAAATTTTTTAAAAAAAAAGCATTAATTTTTTTTTATAATAGACTCTTTTGCCACCCCCGATATGCCCCAGAACCCAGTGCACAAGTTCATTGCTACTTTTGTGGTGATGTTTGCTTCCCGCTATGTGGTTGACAAGGGCGCCATTGTCTTGATCGAGTTCATCAACAAGCTTTTGACAATTTACGAGCAGGATTTCCAACTGCCCTTGAGCCTTCCTGGTCTTCAGCGCATGACAGATTTCTCAGCCATGACCAAAGGCATAAAGAAATTTGTTGTGTGTCAGGATTGTCACAAGGTGTATGAAGAAAGTGCATCTGTCCCGTCTCATTGCGATTTCGTAAAGCTTGGTGCACGCTCATCTTGCAACTGCCAATTGACAAAAACATCAGCATCGGGTGCTTTGGTGGCCAAGCGTTCATACTTGTACCAGTCCATTGTTAATACTTTATGAATGTTTGTTCTTCGTCCAGGATTCAAGGATAAAATTAGACATTGGAATCATGAGCTGAAGATGGTGGATACGATGTGTGACATATACGATGGTGCCATGTGGAAGGAGATCAAAGACAAAGATGGCGTGCAATTCACAAAGGATTCGCATTCATTAATGTTGACTCTCAACATCGACTGGTTTCAACCTTTCGATAACGTCACGCACTCGACTGGTGCCATATACCTGGTAGTAAACAATCTGCCTTGCAATGAAAGATACAAGCTAGAGAACACACTTCTCATAGGATTGATGCCTGGCCCAAAGGAACCCAAATCCGAAGAGATAAACCATTATCTCCGGCCTATGGTAGATAATCTGATAAGATTGTATGAGGGACTGGCAATCCCAACTTTTGAGTGTCCTAGTGGTGTCCGCGTCCGTGCCGCATTGATGATGGTGGCCTGTGACATCCCGGCAGCAAGAAAGACAAGTGGTTTCACCTCGCACAACAGTACATGCGCATGTTACAAGTGCAACAGACATTTCCCTCGCTTGGAAAATGGTGTCAATGTTGACTTTCGTGGGTTTGACTTCTCTTGGTGGGTGCTTCGTGACGGTGTAGAGAACAGGTTGCATGCTGAGGAGTGGGAAAGTGCTAGTACCCCCTCAGAAAGGCATCGGCTGGAGGTCAAAAATGGTGTTCGATGGTCGCAGTTGCATCGCCTTGGATACCTTGATCTAGTACGTGGAACGATCATCGATCCCATGCATAATTTATTCCTGGGAACGCCTAAAAGATTGATGGATCGTTGGATCAAAGACGAAGACATTCAAGATGGCGATTTTGCGGCAATGCAGAAGACTGCAGAAACTATGATTGTGCCTGGTGGATACACCTCTTTGAACTCAAAAATAGGAAAGCAGTTTTCGTATATGAAGGCAGACGAGTGGAAGTCATGGGTGCTCGTATACTCGCCAGTTCTGTTGAAAGATGTTCTTGCAAAAGACAGATTCGAAAACTGGATTAACTTTGTTGATGCATGCCACCTGTTGATCAAGCCAATGATCACGTTTGATGAAGTCAACACTGCCCATCAGTTTCTTCAAACTTTTTGCACCAGATGTGATGAGCTGTACAACGCCGAAATTCTCACCTGTAATATGCACCTACACCTCCATCTTCGAGATACAATTCGTGATTTTGGACCAGTGTACAGTTATTGGCTATTCGGGTTCGAGCGGTTTAACGGGTTGTTAAAAAATTTGAAGACAAACAGGAAGATCGGGTTTGAAGAAACATTTATGAAGAAATTTATTGAAGATGTGCACAAAGACGATCTTGTCAACAGTTTCCTTCAGAGTACCCGCCAGACATCTGCATTTCCTCTCCTTACCAAACTCACTTCTTCCTTTACACCCGCTACCATTCCATCCATCCGTCAACGTACCTTCCACATACAGTCATTTGTCGAGGCTTCTGAAGATCCAAATGTACTTGTAAAAGGCAACGAACCTCTCCCTCCTTCTGCATTCCCTCTATCATTAAAATCCGCTACCACAATGAGTGACATTCACTATGTTCATCTCTTACAATACTACAAAGTTGCGTACAACAATGAACAATTAGTTCACTTTCAATAAGCGTCAGAATCACCATACTTTGTTGACAATATAATCACCCTGTTGAAATACATCAACATCCTTGGGCAGGTCTACAAGAGTAAAGGTGAATCTGGAAGTCGTGGCTCTCTTGTACAAGCAAAGTTCATTGGAAGTACTGGTGAGCATATCATCGCATACACGGGTCAAATACAGTACATTTTCACCCATTCTTTCACTCCTCCACCCACCTCTTCATTCCTTACTCCCTTGCTCCGCACCCATCGCCACCCAACACAACTTCTTCACAATTCTCAACATACTTTTGCATTTATCAAATGGTACACACCCGAAAATGATAAATCGCGAGAGTACGAGCACGTTGAAACCTGCTTTCCAACATTTTCTCCTGACGATTTCCAATGTGTATTGCCAGTGCATAGAATTATGTTAGAAGTAGCAACTGCTGAGCACACAACACGCAGAAAAGTAAAAAAGATGCTGGTCATTCCTTTGCCAAAAAAACAATACATTTAAAAAATAATAAAATTATAACTCCCTTTTTTAAAGGCACACAGAAAAGAATAATCATAGTGTTCGTATTTGTTGGTACGTTTATCATTGTCAGATGGAGGATGTGGAGGATGTAGAGGATAAGAAAACAAAATTTATTGAAACTCATCTCTAAAAGCCCAGTGAGGGAGAAGGGACGTCAATCTAGGCGGGACTGCTAAAACAGCATCTCTACCAAAGGACCTCTTCAACATCTGACGCGAATTGAAGTCCATGCGATTACGCATAAAATCATTAACAACTGCAAGAAAGTGATTGTACTAAATACAAATAAGTGATTAATCAAAGTTCTGTTTCATTTAAATCCATAAAAAAACAAAAAAAAGCTATATACAATAATGTAAACAAAAGAAATTATCTCATCGCTTCTCCAACTTGGACGCACTGTACGAATCGCATGGTTGCTTGAGACTCCAGGCATATCGTCTTCAGATTCGCCCTCAGACATTGCTTCTTTCTGTAAGAGTCCGTCGCAGCTCTTACCCACCTTCATATCAATTTCAGCCTTGAATGTATGGTAGGTCAGCTCACGACGGTCAAAATGCTAGTTTATAAATGTATTAATATGAATACATTTAATTTGCAATCAAAATATACTTCTAACATACATCGGTCTCTCGACCTGCTTTTCTTGACCGAGAATTTGTCTTTTTGCGTGCTTCATAGGATTCCTTGACTCGGCGTCTCGTTCCACAAAAGTTTGTGTAGATACAATTGCTAATATTGGCCTGTCAAACACTAGTCCCAACAACCTTTGGAGCCAGATATGCATGAAGGTCATGCATCAGCTGTCTGTTGGGTGGAAGTCTGTAATCAACATTAACATCCCAACTGCGCTTGCTGTCATTAGCTGCAACTAGTTCCAGCTTATTTGATTTGAAGTTGTGTTTCTTTGACTCTCCTCGGATAAGAGCCTATACTTAGTGTGAGATATTATGTTGATGAGCTACTGTATATCTCAACACTTACTAAAACTCTAGTGCAATCCTGTTTACTAAGTTCACCAGCGTTTGCACCAGTAAGAACCACTGGACCAACAGAAGGAGCAACAGAAGGAGCAACAGAAGGAGCAGCAGAAGAGATACCAAAAAAAGCCTCAGAAGGTGTTGTATACCAATCCAGAGTAGAACCAATGGAAGAAGCTGCGAAAGGGACAGAAGCAGAAGCAGGTATAGTGGTAGGAACAATAACTGCAAGAAGTTCTCCAGAGGCATTGGCAATGCTATCAAGTATTTCCAATGAATCTTTGTTCCCCTTGATGACAATACCAATGTTTGAATCCATGGTCTTGAGACTTTCCTCCATAGCGGTGAGCCTTCTTAAAAGCTCAGTATATTCCGGGGATGGAGCCGGGGCAATTGACTGACAATTGTTAACCATGGTCTGAAAGCTATCTAATAAAATGTTATACATGAGTTGATTGTTAATTATATTTGTTTTATATATCTATTCATTGTATATATAGAGTGTTATTAACATACAAAAGAAGTTAGGTGTTAAGCGAAAGAATAAAGTGTAGTTAATGGAAAGATGGTAAAAGTAAAAGCAAGAACCCATTTATTATATTACACTTGTTGCTGTAAATACTCAGGATTTCTTTAATACACGTATCTCTATTAATACTTCCTGGAATTAACGGGGTGCAAATCGGCTTTGAACATGCTTTTTTCAACTCAATCCAATATATGATTTCTGTCTTTCGGCCTTTTGGCCCTTTGGTCTTTTGTTCTTTTTGTTTTTTTTTCATTTACAAGTTTTCTCTCTTTTCTCTCTTTCCAACATTTATTATATTCACAGATTTTCTTGGTAAGATATCTTATTCTTTAATATTATATATATATATAACTAAAATGATAATAATTGTTTTCTATTACTACAGACACTCGCGTTTTGTTACCTTCTGATGCATCCCCTTCACAATGTCCATCCGGATTAGCTAAGGTTAGTAAATATACTTTATGCCATCATCCTATAAAATTATCCTGACCTTTTCCTTTCTTTTGTATAGGCCATATCGCCGAAATTACTCTCTACTATTAAACACGGTTATGAACACAGTAATATTTTATTTTATTTCAATCTATCTCTTTTTAATAAGCACACGGCTTAACATAATTTCTATTATAGATGAACCTCCCTCTCATGAGCACATCGCGAATCAAGAACTTTCATTTCATATGAGTGTCATTGACATGGTATTTTTTTTTGTACATATAACAATATTATTTATTTTGTATATTAATGTATATCATTTACTGAAGACAATATTAGCGTCTCCTATGTACTCTCTTGGTCTGCAAATAAATCCTTTTGCTTCGGGTAGGTAAATGAAATATTCTACCACACAGTTCACAAAAAATAATTTTTTTCAGCATTTTTATAGCCAAATAAAGTATATTGAGTACTATGGTTCGCATTCATGATGCCTTTTCTTTTTGTCTCTGGTAAGCTATTATATTGCAAGCATAATTACATATATATATTCTTAATATCCACGATTTCTTGTTCAAACAGCTAACACTTTTCTAATTTCATAGAACAACCATTTACAAGCAAGCAACACACAACTGGGCTTTTCTCTGGGAGATATTGTTTGGAGAATACTTGTTTTATCAGAACATTGGCCATTTCAAATTGTATGAAGGATAGAACACTAGCCAGAATGTTCCTGAATATTAAATATAACCACTGTACTATAAACCTAAGAATATTCTTTTCTTTCTAATAAAAACAAAATAAACCAATAATTATTATAAATAAATTAAAGATTGGAGAAGTGTATGGAAGCAAACAGTATAAGAAGAAGTCTCTAAGATTGGATAAAATAAATTCAAATACAACAAAACCCTGTAAAAACTGGCATATCCATAAATTAAACAATGTAAAAACTGGCATATCTGTATAATCGATCTTTCATTTATTGTTCTTTTAATCGGAAAGCAGTAGGATATATTACAACAAAACGTAATTCTGAGTTGCCGTTTTAGTGCATGTGGTAAAAACCCATATACAGAAAATGCAAACACATCCTACTATCCTGCTGTTCTGACCTTTTCCTATGTTCGAAAGTTGGTCTTACCACCTATGAGTAAGCCAGCTTCATACACTTGTAAAAACTATCTGATCGCATTGTAAAACCTGGTCTTTTCACATAATTAATTACAGTTTTACACATAAGAAAACCGCACCTCTTTTCCAGTGGATCTTTTTTTTCAGGTATTTCTTTTTTGTAGAAAAATTTTCATCCCAAATATAACAAACCGACCGAGCAAGAAGTAGCTAGAGATATAGAATAGTATTATTAGATCTGAAACCTAGAAACATTCTATTCTTTCCAATAAAAATAAAAGCGTAAACCATTACCAACCTAATAAGAACGGGAAACCAAATAAATAAAGAACATATTACTGGTCTATAATTTTAAAAACGCCTTTTTTTGCTGCTGATGACCAAACTTCTTAACAATAAACTAGCTTAAAGGTCACCTTTATGCTACTTTTAATCTTTATAATGTGTCGGTGCCTGACCTTTATGGTTCCATATAAAGAATATCAAAATAGATACGCAGTTTTAAAAACCTTTCTTTTTATATATCAAGTCAGATAAGTATATCTAAAGTGCTAACAAACCTTATCTGCGGCACCCCCACCCACAATTCCGCTAGTTGACTCTAGTCATTCCACTATCTGTGAAGGTCACCTTCAGCACAAGTGGAAAAAAAATCAACTAATTTAAATATGGAAACTATACTACACTATACCCCATATTTAAACTACCTTATTTTTTTAATTTTTCCAGTGTGATCTCCTAGTTTCTGCAGCCAACACAACAGATAAATAAAAAAAACTAATAAAACTAAGATTACATATATAGATTTGATATTAATAAATATATTATATAGACATGTAAAATGAAGATATTGATATGGAAGAAGACTTTATCTTTGATAATGATAATGAAGACAATGTAAATTCTGATCATAGTGATGATGAAGAAGGTAATAAAATAATATAATTTTTAAAAAAAGATTATTAAAATCTATTACTCTTTCTTCTTATATATGATGCTAATATATTATTCTAACTCATTAATAATAAATATACACTATCAGCTTTCATATCGGCATATCAAGAAGAGTCAATATTTTTTTCTGAAGACACCAACCTTAAATCACTTGTAATTAATAGCAATGAAATTGAAGAAGGAAATACAAGTTTCGATTTTGAACAAGGTGAGACTTTGGATGTTGACACTGAGAGTTCTGTAACTTCTAGAAGTATGAAATATTATGATATCAATATTTCTTTTTGTTGCAAAGCTGGATTGTGAATCTAACTTATCATTTGTCTTCATAGTTTGTGAGTTTTCAATAAATAGCATGCCCATCTATATTTGTTTTGTGACTATTTTTATTGTCATATTTCACCTGATCTTTTTGGTGGATAATGATAGATATATTCTCATTGAGTTCTGCAACAATCTTCTCTCCATTTGCAACCTGGCTGGTTCTCTCTGTTTGACAATCAACAGCCTAAGACATATTACTGGTTTTGACAAAGCAACAAAAGGAATGACAGTGTATGTGACATGTTCAAAATGTCATTTGATATATCCTCCAGGCACAACCATAAAGAATTGCAATTTTAAAATTTTTCCTGAATCAAATACTTGTAACAATCCACTATACAAATTCACAATTGCCAGCCATTCTTCTCCAGTAATGATGTATCCATACAACTCACTTAAGCACACATTACAGCAACATTTTTCCAAGTCAGATTTTGAGCAAAGAATTAATCTTTGGAGAAACCACCCAACAATGGAAAATACAAAACTTGATATTTATGACAGTGCGATATAAAATGAGCTACAAGACAGCAATGGTTCAACGTTTGTTGATGATTTCTGATCTCCAATGCTGACATTAAATATTGATTGGTTTCAACCTTTTGATGGCCAAACCCACTCAAGTGGTGCGATTTACTTGTCCATTAATAATCTCCCGCGAAGTGAACATCTCAAACCAGAAAACATCATTCTTGTTGGCATGATGCCAGGACCAAAAGAAGCAAGCGCAGATAGTATGAACCACTACTTGGAGTCCCTTGTTGCCAAATTGATAGACCTGTATTCTGGTGTATCAATGACAGACTATAGAAATACTCAGATAACTGTTTGTGCTGTCTTGATGTGTATTGCTTGCGATATTCCTGCTGCCAGAAAAACGTCTGGATTTACTAGTCATATGAGTACATGCACCTGTCACTGATGTCAACGCCAATTTAAAACTTTCAAAAAAACCACCAAGCTCAATTATTCTGGATTTGATTACAAGACGTGGATAAAGCATACAAAGACAACAAATCTCAGAGATGCTCTCAGATGGAAAACAGCACAAAACAACAATGCAAGAACAATTTTGGAGAGAGAGAATGGAACCCGGTGGTCTTAGCTTCACTTATTGCCATACTTTGATCCAGTTTAGTGTACCATTATTGATCCAATGCACAATCTCTATCTTGGAACTGCAAAGCAGATGATCAACATTTGGCGTGATTCCAAGCTGATCAGTGACAAGGATTTTTTGACCATGCAAGAACTTGCTAATAGAGTTGTTGTATCTTCTGGGTATGCTCGTATTACAAAGAAAATTGGTGATGGATTCTCATTTATGAAGGCTGACGAGTGGAAGTCATGGTGCATAATATATTTCCCATTTGTTTTGAAGCACATAATTTCTGCCGTCAACCTTGCCAATTGGATACTTTTTGTAAAAGCATATTGTCTGCTAACTAAGCCGTTCATAACTGTCAAAGAAACTGCAGAAGCTTACAAGTATCTTCAAGAATTTTGTATCAAATGTCAGACTTCTTATAAAAAACCAGCAATTACTCCAAACATGCACTTGCATCTTCACCTTAGCAAGTGTATCAATAATTTTGGCCCTGTTTATGTGTTTTGGCTGTTTAGTTTTGAGTGTTATAATGGTTTGCTAAAAAAATTTGAGACAAATCGGAAGGGTGGATTTGAGTCAATAATGATAAAGCAATTTCTTGAAAAAGCATACATCGGCAGCTATATCAGAGCCTTTTCAACCAGTTTTGACAAATTTATTATTACTTTCTTACACAGAATTTCCAACAGCCACACTGGAAAAACCGCCCTGATTAACAATGTGGCCAGGTTGGTAAACACATGTGTAGAAATAGTGATTTTTTTCAACTCAGTGTGTTTTTTGAAGTTCAGGTCAAAGATGTAGTTTTAGTTGGTTTCATTGGCTAACAGAATTTTAGAATATCAGTCTGGTATGGAAGGCTAAATTCACATACAGAGACCTATCATAATTCTCATTCTACCACTTCTTTTTTTTTATTCCCACTATTTTCTGGATTTACTCTCGCAATAATCTATTTATAAACTTATAGTAAAAAATATATGTCTTTTACACACAACAGGCATTCTTGAAAACATTTGAATAAAGACTATGAATTGATAATATCATAATTGTCATGTCTCTTTCTATATTTAATGATATAGAAAAGAATTTGTTAGAAGAATTCAATTAAACAATCATAAAATATAATGTTTTTTTTTACAATAAAGTTGGTGAAAATAGAGTATATTTTATACTTGTTTCTCTTTTTATTCTCAATAAATCACATCAAACAAAACACATAAAATGTCTTCTATCTCCTACAGCCATAATGTTGTCTGCCGTTGTGCTCAATGTAGCAGAAATTCACAGGGATACTCATTGGTGACAAGCAGAACCACTGAGCACCATATTAGAAAAGATGAGCTTGAGAGAATCGAGAGACTGGATACGGCTTAAAGATTGGCAAATAGTATGTTATATTCAGGGTTTATTTTTCGATTACTGAGTAATAACTTTATTTTTTTAATTTTAATGAAACACAGCTGTGTAAGAAGAACAAATGATGAACGTTGATACCCAATGTAAGAAAAGAAAAAAAATATTTGAAAACCAGTAGAGACAATGAGCTAAACTAATCTATATTTGTATATATCCCAACCTGTCAATCTGAATCCATTGAAAAAATAGACTATCAGGCCGACTCACCTGATTTGAATGCCACCACAATGGTGGACAATGTCTCGGTAGACGATGAGATCAGCAAGGTCAATGGCAATGACTCTGACATTGAAAGAGACATGAACTCTGACTCTGGCAGTGGTAAAGAAGAAGGTGTCGAGACAGACGTTGAAGAGTTTGTTAATGAAGGTCAGTCATAAATGATTTTGTTTTCTTAAAAACAGACCTAAAGAAAATTTGTTCTAATTTATTTTTGTTAATTTTAAATAGACCCATTTGATGCTCCTAACATGCCTGAAAACCCTGTCCATCAGTTCATTGCTACCTTTGCCGTTCTTTTTATCTCGCGTTATGTTGTTAACAAAGGTGCCGCCGTATTGATTAAATTTATCAATCAATTACTCAAGATGTACAGCAAAGATTTCCAATTACCAACAAGTCTTATTGGCCTGCAAAGAATGACTGGTTTTTCCAATTACGCCAATGGTATCAAGAAGTCTGTTGTATGTGAAGACTGCCACAAGGTTTATGAACAAGATGTGCCTCTCCCTACTCATTGCAACTTCAAAAAGCATGATTCTCGATCAGCATGCAATTGTGAATTGATGAAGGTTTCATCTTCTGGTGCCATGGTAGCCAAGCGAGCATACGTCTACAACTCTATCCAGAGATCATTACAAGTTTTCTTTCTTCGTTCTGGGTTCGAGCAAAAAATCAGACAATGGAACAAAGAGCTTAAGGTCGTAGATACACTATGCAACGTCTATGATGGTGCTATGTGGAAGGAGCTAAAGGACCAAAGTGGCGTATTGTTTGTGAATGAACCTCGTTCATTGATGCTAACAATGAACATCGACTGGTTCCAGCCATTTGATAGCATTACATATTCAACTGGAGCTATCTACCTTGCAATAAATAACTTGCCTCGTGAGGAAAGATTTAAGCCTGAAAATGTCATCCTTGTTGGTTTGATGCCTGGTCCTAAGGAGCCAAAGACCGAAGAGATCAACCACTATTTAAAGCCAATAGTTGATGAATTGCTGCAGTTGTTTACAGGGATAACCATCCCGACCTTTGAGTGCCCAGCCAGTGTTAATATACGTGCCGCATTACATATGGTTGCCTGTGACATCCCTGCCACCAGGAAGACCAGTGAATTCACTGCCCACAACAGTACTTGTGCATGCCCCAGATGTGTGAGGCAGTTTACCAGGTTACCAAGCACCAATCAGGTCGACTTCAGTGGGTTCGACTATTCGACGTGGAAAATCCGTAGTGGTCTGGAAAACAGGTTGCATGCTGAGGAGTGGAAGAGTGCCAGTACGCCCTCAGAAAGGCATCAGTTGGAAATCGAAAATGGTGTTCAATGGTCGCAGCTGCATCGCCTTGGATACTTTGATCTAATACGTGGAATGATCATCGATCCCATGCATAATTTATTTCTGGGGACACCAAAGAGAATGATGGAGCGGTGGATAAAAGAAGGACTGATAGACGATAGAAAGCTAGCTACGATGCAAACAATGGCAGAGACAATGGTGGTGCCAATGGATTACGTGGTGTTGAAATCGAAGATTGGAAAGGGCTTTCCATACATGAAAGCTGATGAATGGAAGTCCTGGGTGCTAGTGTATTCGCCTATCTTGTTGAAGGCCGTCCTGCCAATTGAAATGTTCAGAAATTGGATCAGTTTTGTTGATGCCTGTCACCAATTAGTAAAGCCAAGCATCACGTTCTCTGACATTGACGATAGTCATAAATTTCTTCAAGAATTCTGTACTGAGTGCCAGCGTATTTACACTCCAACTATTCTCACCTGTAACATGCATTTACATCTTCATCTTCGCGAGATCATCCGTGATTTTGGATCAGTATATGGATATTGGCTCTTTGGGTTTGAGCGATATAATGGTCTGCTAAAGAACGTGAATACGAACAGAAAAGATTCCTTTGAGGTTACATACATGTATAGTTTTGTCCAAGATGCATTCAAAGGTGATTTCGTTCATGCTGCTCTCACATGCCCAAGCCAAGTACCGTTTCTTCCTCTTCTTGCCAAGCTTACTGCCACAGCTCAACCCTCCACTTCAAAAAATACAATAACTTTTCCCCAGTGCCCGTTCAGACTATCAGCCTTCATCCAAGCATACTCAAACCCTTCTCTTCTAGTCCTTGGCAATGAACCTCTTCCTCCATCCGCATTTCCTCTCCATATCAAACCCCCATCAGCAATAAGTGATGTCGACTATCCTCATTTGCTTGATTACTATAAATTCGCATACTGCATGCCAAATCTTGAAGGTTACCAGCATCCCTCCTCTCCATTCACCTTTGTTGACAACCAAATCATAAAGTTGAAATCAATCAATTTGCTTGGTCAGGTTTACAAAGGCTGCAAATATGCTTCTGGTCACAGCTCATTTGTTCCATCTCTGTTCCTTGAAAGTCAAGGCAATAATTGGTTGGCATACACTGGCCAAATTCAGTATCTGTTCTTGCACTCTTTCACTCTACCAGTAGACAACACAGAGCTCCAAGCACGTATTATTTATCAAGATAAACACATGTTTGTGTTTGTTAAGTGGTTCCAGATTGAGCATGACCGTTCAAGAGAGTTGGAAAGTTTCAACATCTGCAGTGCAGTTTTATTGCATGTGATTTTGAATGCATCTTGCCAGTACATCGAATATCATCAGTTGTTGCAACATGTGATTATAAAACCAGCACAAATAATAAGAAAATACTTGTCAAAGCTTTACCACACAAACAATACAATTAATATTTAATACATTTCTTTTTTAATAAAAAATTTCAATACATAAGCTAATGTAGTCTTATTATATATGTTGCGAACAATACATATGTGTTAAGAAATTTTGAGAGTAAAAGAAAAAAAACGACAAAAAATAAGTTTTATTTATGACCCATATTTAAGAGCCCATTGAGGTAGAGCAGGATCTAAATCAATTGAAACTGCTGATTCCACTGTTCTACCATAAACTCTCTTAAGCAGTTGGTGGGAATTTGCACCCAATTGCTTAACAACAAATGAGTCAACCTCTGTAATGAATTTGTTAAGCTAAGTAATAAACATATATTAACATTCAGCCTGGCATCATTCAAAAAAGAAAACTGTTAGGTTTTACCTCGTCACTTCTCCAACTTGGGCAAGCAACACGAATCTCATTTCTTGGCTGAGAGGGGGACATATCATTGTCTGATTCGCCTTCAGACATGACCAACTTTTGGATCAGTCCAGAGCAGTTTTGACTCATCTTGAGATCAATGTCAGCCTTGTAAGTATCCTAAGCAAGGCAATGGCGAGTGTAGTTCTAAAGGAAAAAGACAATACAATTAATATTCTAATTGTTATTATTTAGTATAAATTGAAAATATAGTTTACATCAGTTTCACAGCCAGATCTTCTTGAATTAGTATTCAAGGATTGTCTTGTTTCTAGAAGTTCCCTTTGCTGGCGATGTCTACTACAGAAGTTTGTGTATATACACTTATGAAGGTTGCGTGTCCTCATATCAGTGCCAGCAAACTTCTTTTCCAAGTAATACAAGAGTTGTTTAACTAACTCTCTATTTAGAGAGCGATCAAAACGAACATCAACTGCCCACTTTGGTTTTATGGCGTTTGCTTGGATTTCTGCCTGGTCTCTTGATTTTAGCTTTGGGTTCTACATATAACCATAAATATATCCCTATTATATTTTAATTAGCAACAAGATTGGCAAGTGTCTTTTGTATCTTTATACTTACAAATACAGCATTAGTATCACTTGATTTGGTGGTGGGAAGGGCAGCAGAAGTGGATGCAACACTAGTGGGCACATGCACAGGTGCTGGGAGGGCAGACAAGGCATCAATGTCATTAATGGCGGTTGCTTTACCAGTGATCACTACACCAATTCTTGTATCCATTAATGTGATCTTATCCTTCATGGCCTTCATCTCTTCTTTCATCACATTTAAAGCTTGTAGCAACTGGACATCAGTGCTAGCAAGAGAAGGAGCGAGTCTGCAGTTGGGGGTAGACATTATCTGTAATACATTATAATATTTTCAATTGTTAATATTAGTTCTTTTTTGTAAGAGACAATCCATCTATTTTGTTATGTAAATTACAGTAAATTCGCAACGTAGATTTGTTGAGATGATATAATCAAAAGTGAGTGACATTGAATTGCAAGTAGAAATATTAAGTATTTATAGGCAGTAGTGATGCTTCAGGAACACTTCAAAGACAACTTCTTGAAATATTAAGATGCAAATCGGCCTTGATACATTTTTTGATCTCAATTGATCACCTCTTTTCAGTTTTTTTTGCTATCATTTATTGGATAAGCTTTTTGGTATTTTGTTTTAAATGTGGAAAAAAAATTTACGTCTTTTTCTTTCTTCTTTTCTGCTTCTTTCCTCTTTTCTAACATTTGTCATTATTATATTAGTGACTTTTTTTTTGGTAACATATATCTTTATTAAATACTTTTTTATAAACAATAAAAATTAATACATTCTTTTATTATCATAATAGATATCGTTTGCTCTCATTTAAATGCATTTATTTCACAATTGCTGTCCAGATTAACAAAGGTCAATATTATATTTTACAAAATTGACATCTATAAAAATCCTTCTGACTTGTTTTTTTTTATTACAGACTTGATCATCAAGAATAATTGCTACAAATGAATTTGGTTAAAAACATCAGGTAGTGTATATATATATATATATATATTATTTTGACATGTATCTTACTAAAATGAAGTCTTATTATAGATGAACACTGTTGATTCCGTCTTTGATTTCCCTTACATTATACAGCTGGAAATGACATTACATGGTAAGGATCACTACTTTATTTTGTATTTTAATTATATTAATATTATAATTTGTTAACATAAAATATTATTATTTTTCACTAGAGTTCTATCAAGTATTTACAAAGACAATCTATCTCTGTTAATATATATTCTTGTTACTGGTATGTAAATTATTTATTATTTTATTCGATTCACAAAAATTAATGTTTTTCATTGTTTTTATAGTGAAAGATATCATAAGGAACGTCATGAATTATCAATATCAACATCTATTTTTTGCTCGCTCTTTTCCAATATTTACAATGTAAGTATAAAAGTGTACACAAAATGTAAAAGCATACTACATTAAATGTAGTACCCAGCACACATAGCTAATAGTTTGTCTATGCTTCTTAAAGACTGTTGTATTTCAACAAACAGTCTGCTTTCTTTTTATATTTTCAGATATTTCTTTTCTATAGATAATTATTCTATTTAAACAGTATCAAGCAGACCAGTAGAAGCAATAATGAATATCCAATAATCAATACTATAAGATTGTTATAGTTCTAGAAACATTCTGTTCTTTTCAAATAAATACTATTATAAACTTTTACCAATAAAACAATTTCTGAAATTAAAATAAAAACGATTGAACTATACTATGGTTCAGAATCCAAAGAATTACTCAAGTATTAAATTTAATTGGATATAAAAGATAACGAAGAGATGTAATGTTGAACTATACTACTGTGTCAAGATCAAAAATAAATATATTATCCACCTTTAAAGCTCCATATAAATCATATAAAAATAAAACCTTGGTTTCAAAAAATTCTTTTCAATATCCCAAGTCAGAGCAACACACCGAAAGTGCTAAAGAACTATATCCCTGTCATTTTTATTTGACCTCACACATGTGTATAGCTGGTTATAGCACATGATGCTAAAACGAACTTGTTACATGATGATATGTATCTGGACTCAATGTTAAACCCTGTCTTGACACCTGAGTAACTACGCCTTTACACATATGTATGTCAGGTCATTTTTTCAGTGAAGATGATTATTTAAAAAAAACAGATTCATATAAAGATATATTTGAGTAGGATTCATAACTATGAATAAATATATAACCAAAATACTAATGGATTATAGCATTTTAATTCTATATAAATGTAAATGTCAAATGTAACTTATTATCTAATAGTATGCAAAACATTATCATTGACAAATCCAGAAGTCCATTTTTACAATCTTATATGGAATTCAAAAAGGCTTATTATATTATATTTAAGTCTGCTATTACAGATATTTTACATATTATTATAGGATAATTTTTGCAATGTGTACAGGTCTTTGGGCATAATTACAAAAGGAAATAATCAAAAATAATCAAAAATAATCAAAAATAATCAAAAATAAAAATAATCAAACTACTAAAAAATATGAACTCTCGGGAAGCATCTTAAAAAGATAATATCAAGAAGTGTAAAAGAACAAGTGCTATGCAAAGAGAAGAAAGCTAAAAAGAAATAAAAATCAAAGAAAAAAATAGAAAAAAAGGAAAAAGCATTTAAAGTCCAGCAAGAATTTAAATGTTGATAGCAAGAAAAAAAGGAAAAAGAGGGAAAGAGAAAATAAATCCAAGAAATTGGATTTTGTTGTGTTTGAAGATAGAGTTATAACTTTGCACTGTCTATAATTTAATAGTCTGTCTATAAATTGACATCACATCAACCAAATATATGTTTTTGATTACTGTCAAAGTATTCTACAACACTTGTGTCACCTGACACATGTGGTGCTTGTATTTGTGATAAATGTTGACAGGTAATGTTATTATGGTTTTTGAGATTTGAATGTTTTTATAGATATGAAATAACCTCTCTTTTCCACAAGAGAGAAAAAGACAAACTCAAAAGAGAATGTAGAATTAAAGATAATAAAATCAATAAGAGAAAAATAAGAGAAAAAACAGTACTTGTGGTGATCCAGACACTTGGATGTTAGATTTATCATATATAAGAACATATTCATATTGGGGTAGCATAGTAGCTATCATCTTGTCAGTATAAAATATATATAAACAATTAAGTAATCAGTCCAATAATTATTACAGTTAGTACTGTAGATAATATCTTAAAGATTGTTAAGATAATTATATTATACTTCCAGGTAAACTGTGTCAGATCAATATGGAGCTAATTTAATAGAAAGTCCTAAAGCTCTAGTATAAAAGAGAAAAGAATAGCTAAGAGCTAAAGAAGTACGATTTATGACTTGATGTCATAATTGTAACACCAACACTAGTTAAGCAGTAAATACACTCTAATAATCAAATATAATAAAGGAAGAAAGCCTTAAGAAACTAAGACGTAATGACAAGAGCAGATTGTGTTTTCTTATAAAAAGGAACACTTTTTATTTATGAATAAAAAAAACTTATATACAGTCTCAAAGTATTTCTATATGTCTCTATTATCAAATATTTTATTTTTCTATTGTTTCATACCTGAAATACCACATATAATAAAGGTTGTATAATTGATAATCTATTAAATATGATTTGTTCTTTACTATCATTAAGTACAAATAAAATAAAATAATTATTAAGTCATAATCATGAAGATAATTATGCTTGTAAGAATATATAATAAAAATAATATTAATTCTAAGTTGATTTGTTCAGTTAAATATAGTGAGAAAATAAAATACAATGTGTGGTTGTCTGAAGTTATTGTTGACAGGGTGATGATTTTTCGTTGCACTTATTGGTGTTTTTCTCTACAAATAAAAGAATTACTCTCTATTCAGCCTCGGCCACTGTCGGAAAATCAAAAAAATAATAATAGAATATAATTTTTCTAGAATTATAAAGAATTCTGCAACATCACCGCACTGCTGGACAACCGGAATTTGTTAACAATTGAACATTTTATACAACATCTTGTGTCATCCCAACTATGGGACTATGGCCCAATGGACAAGGCGTCTGACTACGAATCAGGAGATTCCAGGTTCGACCCCTGGTAGTCTCATATTTTTTCGTCTTAATGCCTGTCATTCTGATCTGGGTTGGTATCCCTTTTACTATAACAAAGTCAAAAGGTCAAACCCACTGGGGATCAAGGAGTATACATAAATCAAAGAGAAGATAAAAGATACTTTTTATTGGTATAAATTGAATTGTCTTATATAGTTTTCTAAACTAATACTGCACATTATCTGCAGTAGCTATTATATTATATTTAAATAAAAGAAGAGTCATTATACTGTGGTTAATACTCAGGAAGATGTTACTGTGCATAACGAGGTACTGCGGTTAACCATCTTCAGATTGTATGGATTCATCAAAATAATGTCTGACAAGAGTTGACATTAGTGACCAAAATCAGAAGTTACAAGCAGCTAGTAATGGTTAACTTTTTAAGATAAAAGATCTTGACTTTGCCAATTGGTCTTTTGTCTATGTATTAGATGTTGGAGATGAGGAATATACTTGTAGAGATATTTCTGGATAACCACCATCTAAGACATATTATTGTAGCTATTCTTTTAGCCAGAAAACAACAATCGTTTTTTATAAATAGTCAAGAATTACATTTAATAAAAATCATCTATATTCTTATCTAAAAACTATTCTTAAAAACTTAATGATCTCCAGTGGTATTGATTCTGTGACTTAGTTACAAGTGCTAGAAAAGAAATACCAGATTGAGACTTGATACTTTAATAACACAGGAGTAAGCAAATAAGAGAGAGGATCAAAGATGATTTTTATTATTTGATTTGAGTTATCTTATATAGTTTTTAAAATGATTATTCATCTTTGACTACACTCAAGTAGTGTCTAGTAATATTATAAACTATTATAAACTGATTACAAATTTCTAAAATTACAAACTGATGAATAGTCATTCTAATTCCTGCTTCTTTTGTAATAACAAGTCACTAGAACTTGTATTACAAAAATTAAGTATGACATGACTATGGATAAAGGGGTTTGAATTTGGAGGCTAGTTTAGGCAACTGGGCGATGAGAAAGAAGTTTGAGCTTAAGAAAGATGCTTTTTACTGATAGAAGAAACAATGAGTATTTATACTTTTTGGCTAGATAGAGAGAACATGTTCAAACACATATTGTTAACAGAGATGTAATGGAAACGAGGGGAAAGGGTTGGAACAAGAATTCAGATACAAATAATAGAGTAGATACAAACAATAGTATAGATACTGTTATGTATGAGGTAAAAATAAGATATAAAATAAAACAAGTGCAGATGAGAGTATAGTGAGACTTTGTTTTATTAGAAGAAGTGAAAGAATCAGAAAGGAGATTCTGTTCTATTGCTATTAGTATTGTGTGTTTATATAGACATTGCATTTAGCTTGGTGATGATATAATGATATCATATAATGTCTGTTTCTCTACCATTATCTTCTATGATTTAGTTCTTATGTTTTTAGTGTTATTGACTAGAGTCTTAGTATTTGTCTTAGTATGTTCTTCATATAATTTTCTTGTATAAGGGAAGGTATATCTTTTAGTATCGTTACTAGTTGTCGGTAACTCAATGTACATATTTATTGAGTGTCTGTACTTTTAATTTAAATCTATGATTATGTTGGATACAACACATGGGGGCGAGAAGAGAGAGCTTTATGTTGGGACAGGATGACACCAATTCTAGCTGTGCAGGCGCCATTGGTGTGAAGCTCAAAAGGTCGAGAGAAGTCAGGGAATTTCAGGACAGGTGCTGTGAGGAGTACTGTTTGCAGTTTGGTAGCAGCAGCAGCATGGGTATCGTCCCAAATCCAGGCAACGTCCTTGCCAAGAAGACGGTTGAGGGGGGCAGCAAGCTTGGGGAATTGCGGGATGAAACAGTGGTAGTAGCCACAGAGACCAAGGAAAGATTGGAGGCTATCGACCTCTGATGGGGTAGGACAGGATGCAACAGTCTTGATCTTGTCAGGATCGGTACAGAAACCAGAGGCTGTGATGAGATAGCCAAGATATTTGACTTCAGGACATACAAATCTGCACTTCTTCATATTCACAGTGAGGGATGCTGTTTGAAGACGAGTGAACATGGTGGCCAAGTCCTGGAGATGCTGATCAAACGATGGGAAAAAGATGATGATGTTGTCAAGGTAGACGAGGCAGAGTTGCCATTTGAGTTCTGCAAGGACAGCATCCATAAGCCATTGGAGAGATCAAATGGCATCCAAACAAACTCAAAAAGGCCTTTTTAACAGACAAATGCTGAACGAGGGCGGGAGGCATTGTCCAGTTCAATCTGCTAGTAGAACGCAGTTAGATCCAAGGTGGAAAATAAGGCCAAGTTTCCCAAAGCATGGAGCGTGTCATCAATGCGTGGGAGTGAGTATACGTCTCTGGTAGTCACACCATTCAGTCACCTATAGTTGATGCAGAAACAAGGTGACCCATCCTTCTTCCTGACAATGACCACTGGAGAACTCCAAGGGGAGTTGGAGGGAACAACAATGTCATCCTTGAGCATGTCATCAATCATGTCACTGATTTAGTTGTTTTTGGCAGCAGATGCTCAATGTGGTGACCCAGAGATAGGGTGAGAGTCATCAGTGTCAATGTTGTGCTGGACATAAGACGTTACTGTGCGGGTATTGGTCGCAAATACCTTGCAGAACCAGTTCAGCAAACAAACCATCTGCTCCTCACTGGAAAAATGACTCTGAATATCTACGTGTGGGGGTACCTAAACACCATAGTAAATTTAGGGTGATTTTTTATCTCAGCATTATTTTTGTGTTCAAACTGATAGTATCATTGTACTGGATCCTATTGGCTTAGCTATTTCAATCATCATAGTTACTTTATCATTATTATTATAAAGTTGTAATAAATAAAAACATGTGTAACACTTGTTTTTATTTTACTTTAACATTTTAAACAATTAAAAAAACATAATGTCCTCTACTTCGAACACTCATAATAATAAGTGCTTTTGTAATGAATGCAAAAATAACCAAGAAGGTTACAGTCTAGTTCAAAGACGAACTGCTCAACGCCATACCAAAAAAACAAGATATAAAGCCTTCGAAAAAAGTGAAATGGGTACTTTTTTTTGGAATTTTTGGTTTTTATTTTTTGGGGGTATTTTGTATAATAATAATTTTTAATAGATACATCTGCTCAAAGCAGCTCAATGGAAGTTGATGTTGAAAGTAAGCAGAATATATTTTAATATCAGAGAATATAAACTAAGAGCTTTATTCTATATGTAGCTTTTCTGTTCCAGGAAGCAGGCCCCTTGGAAATATTGATCAGTCAGACTAACTCACCTTTTTGGAAAGCCAATATTATGTCTGAAAATGACGACATGACTATTGACAATGACACAGACAATGACAAAGAAGAAAGTGAAGAGGTCGAAGATATTATTGAAATCAAGGTCAAAGATATTGTTGAAATCAAGGTCAAAGAATTTGATAATGAAGGTCAGTATTGAACAACTAAGAAAAAAAATGGGGGTGTTAATTTTTTTTATAATAGACCCTTTTGCCACCCCCAATATGCCTGAGAACCCAGTGCACAGGTTCATTACTACTTTTGTGGTAATGTTTGCTTCCCACTATGTGGTCAACAAGGGTGCTGTTGTCTTGATCAAGTTCATCAACAAGCTCTTAACGATTTACAAGCAGGATTTCCAATTGCCCTTGAGCCTTTCTGGTCTCCAATGCATGACAGGTTTCTCCGCCATGAACAAAGGCGTTCAAAGATTCCTTGTGTGTCAGGACTGCCACAAGGTATATGAGGAAAGTGCATTGGCTCCTTCCCATTGTGACTCCATGAAGCTTGGCATGCGTTCTGCATGCAACTGTTAATTGACAAAAACATCTTCCTCTGGTCTCCAGGTCGCCAAACGTGAATACTGTTACCAGTAAGTAAAAAATACATTAAGATTGCTCTTTCTCCACCCAGATTTCGAGCAAAAAATCAGACAGTGGAATAAGCAGTTAAAGATTGTAAACATGTTATGCAATGTATATGATGGCAATATGTGGAAAGAGTTGGAAGATAAGGATGGCAAAACCTTTGTTGAAGACCCTCGTTCGTTAATGATCACGTTGAACATCAATTGGTTCCAGCCCTTTGATGGGGCCAGTTATTTGTGTGGTGCTATATATCTGATTGTCAACAATCTTCCTCGAGAAGAACAATTTTTGGCAGAGAACACAATTCTAGTTGGACTTATGCCTGGGCCAAAGGAGCCAAAAACTGACGAAATTAATAACTACTTAAGACCATTGGTGGATGAGTTATTGCAGCTGTATGTTGGAATATATGTACCCACTTACGAACACCCAGCAGGCATCCGGATTTGTGCAGCATTATTAATGGTAGCGTGTGACATTCCTGCAGCAAGAAAGACCAGTGGATTCACTTCACATAATAGCACTTGTGCATGTTACAAATGTAACAAACAATTCTCTTGCCTGGAAGGCAGTTCTACTGTTGACTTTTCTGGATTCAACACAGACCAATAGCAGCCAAAGAATAATAATATGAACCGTTTGTATGCTGAGGAGTGGGAAAGTGCAAGTACCCCCTCAGAAAGACAGCAGCTGGAGGTCGAAAATGATGTTTGATGGTCGCAATTGTATCGTCTTGGATACTTTGATCTAGTACGTGGAACGATCATTGATTCCATGCATAATCTTTTTCTGGGAACAGCAAAAAGAATGGTTGAAAAATGGATTAAAGAAAATAGCATATCACCAGCAGATTTGGCCACAATGCAAAAGATATCAGAATCAATGGTGCTGCCAGCTGATTACATAATTTTGAGATCTGAAATTGGGAAGGGTTTCTTGTATATGAAAGCAGACAAATGGAAATCCTGGGTATTAATATACTCTCCAGTTCTCTTGAAGAATTTTCTGCTATGACACAAGTTGAAGAACTGGATGGATTTTGTAAATGCATGCCGTCTTCTTGTAAAGCTATCAATTACAATGCCTGAAATCAACAAAGCTCATGACTATCTGCAGAGTTTCTGTCAGCAATGCCTAGTGATATATAAACCTGGTTTTCTCACCTGCAACATGCACCTGCACCTTCATATTCATGAGACCATCAACGATTTTGGACCAGTGTATAGTTATTGGCTCTTTGGTTTCAAGAGGTATAATGGGCTGCTTAAGAAAATTGACACCAACCAAAAAGACAGATTTAAGACTACATATATGAAAACATTTATTAATGATGCATATAAAAGTGATTATGTGCAAAAGGTCTTGACATGCCCTAGCCTAGTCCCCTTCATCCCACTCCTTCAAAAACTTACTTTCTCTGCCACAACTACCGCCAACTATGATTCCTATGCCTCCTATGCCTCCTATGCCTTCTGTGCCTCCCTTTCACGCCAAAATTTCCGATTGCAACAATTTGTTAACATATCCTTATGCCCATCACCTTCAACGAAAGACAACAAACCACTTCCTCTGTCATCCGTCCCATTACGTTCCTTAAATGCATCAACAATGAGCGATATTGATTATTCTCAATTACTTCATTTTTATCAGCTTGTATATGCCAATCCTGGTATTGTTAGTTACCACAATGCTTCCTTATGCCCTTATTTTGTTGATAATCAAATCACAAAATTAAAATCAATCAATCTTCTTGGCCAAATATATAAAGGCAAAAACAGTTCTAGAAATCGTGGGTCTTTCATACAAGCAATGTTTCTTGGCAGCAACAATGTAACTAAAACCGCATTCACGGGACAAATACAGTACTTGTTCATTTATTCATTCAAACCTCCACCACATCCGAACTCTCCTGCATCTCAAGTCCATAAAAAAAACACATCTTTGCATATATTTGATGGTTATCAATTACAGCTGATAAAAGGCGCGAAACTGAAAGCATTGATGTCTACTTGCCAAACTTCATGCCAGACAATTACCATAGTATTCTGTCAGTACATCGCATTGATATAGAAGTTGTAACTGCTACTGAAAAAACAAGAAATAATATCAAAAAAATGCTCGTCGTTCCTTTACCCAAAAATACTATGTCTAAAGTTTCTATTAATAAATATGCCCTATGCCCCTCTTTCTATAAAGAAAAACAAAAAGAAAATTCCAAAGATGAGTAGTACCTCTTTTTATATTTTTTTTGATAATTAGAGTGTAGGAAGTAGGCATAGACAAAAAGTTTTTTTTTGTTTAAAAAAAAAGAATTTGCATATTTTATTTAGGGCCCATTTCTAATAGCCCACTGAGGTAACTGTGACGCAATTGCATCTGAGACTGCCAAATCTGTGGTTCTAAACCAAATTCATTCCAGTAACTGATGGGCATTGCTGCCCAAATCAGCTATAACAGCCTCATCAACAAGTTCAATCAAATTATTATACTATATAAAGAACAATATTCATATCCATATATTATTATACATCATGAAAACAAAAAAATATTTAAATTATCTGAAAAATTTACCTCATTGCTTCTCCATTCTGAACGCAAGATCCGAATCGGTCAGGAAGAAGTCAAGCCTCTTGAAACACTGTCTGATTCACCTTCAGACATTGCTTCCCTGATGAGCAGAGCAGAGCAATCTTGCATCATTTTCTCTTCAATGGCAATTTTGTTCTTATTGTATGCTGCCTTGCAACGTCTGAAGTGCTAATAGAAATATCAATTAAGAATTTTTTCTAATTTATATCAAGAAAAATATAAAATGAAGTCAATAAAAAATATAACCTACCTCCTTCTCACGCCCATGTCTTCTGGAAACAGTATTTAACTTCTTTTTGGCCTCTCTATCCTTGTTCTGCTCACACTTATGTGAGCAGTAAGTCATGTAGACATATTTGTTCAGGTCTGCCTCTCTTGTTCCAACACCAACAAACTTAGGCACCAGATAGTTAAGAAAATTCTTAGCCAATTCTCAGTTAGGTGAAAGGCAAAAGCAAACTGTAGTAGCCCATCTGGACCTATTTTTGTTTGCCTGCACTAAGGCAGGCTCGTCTGACCAAAAGTTGGAATTCCACATGTACCCTTTGATGAATTTCTGTTTGATTATAATTAAATACTGAATTGATATATTTTTATATATTCGAATACATACATAGACATTTTTGGTATCGGCCTTACTTGGTCCCGCAGCAAAATCTGCTCGGGGAGGTGCAGTGATCTTGGTACTAGCAGTAGCAAGGATGGTGGCAACAATAGGAGCAGAAATGGGGTTGGCAACCGTGCTGGCTGGTACAGCATTATCAGAGCTGGTTGCCGCAATAGCACCAACGTTTTTGCCCATGTCAGACAATTGACACTTTACTGCTTTTATGTCAGCTTGCATACAAGCAAGGCTGCCAATGATACTTTTCTCTCCCACAGTAATCTCAGAGAGAATATGGCGGTTTCTAGACATTTTCTAATAAATGTTATATTGCTCATTTTGCAATTATTAATATTGGTCTATTATACAAATTCGTATATATTTTATGTCTTTTATAATAAACCTACAGAGATAGTATGATATTTCAGGTACGAAACAATAGAAAAATAATAAATTTGATAATAGAGACGTATAGAAATACTTTGAGACTGTATATAAGTTATCCTTTATTTATAAATAAAAAGTATCCCTTTTTATAAGAAAACAAAATCTGCTCTTGTCATTACATCTTGGTTTCTTAAGGCTTTCTTCCTTTATTAAATTTGGTTATTAGAGTGTATTTACTGCTAAACTAGTGTCGGTGTTACAATTATGATATCAAGTCATAAATCGTACTTCTTTAGCTCTTAGCTATTCTTTTCTCTTTTATACTAGAGCTTTAGAACTTTCTACTAAATTAGCTCCATATCACTCTGACAAAGTTTATCTGGCAGTATGATATAATTATTTTAACAATCTTTAAGATATTATCTACAGTACTAACTGTAATAATTATTGACCTGATTACTTAATCGTTTATATATATTTTATATGCTGACAAGATGATAGCTACTAAGCTATCCCAATATGAATATGTTCTTATATGTGCTAAATCCAACATCCAAGTGTCTGAATCACCACAGGTAGATTGAAATCATTTGTGTGAATGTTTGGGTAAGTAAGTTAGTAGGTAAAGATTTGTGATTAAGTGCACAACAATAAATAAAGAACAAACTTTCAATGATCACTACGGCGGGATGAATGGCAGTTGGGCCGAAAGTAGGCACATAACTGCCATTTTTTTGGTCGAAACCCAATAAAATCTCCGCCGTTTGTTGTAAGATGGTAATGTCATTCGTAGCAATTTAAAAAAGTAACATGAAAACACTTTTTTTGTTGCTGTACAATATTTTCAATACTGTAAAAAATGTTTGTAAGTTGTAATGACCACTTTGAGTATTGAAATATATGTTTTATTGAATATCAAAGATGTCAACAATTATTAAGATTAATAATTTTTGGAATGTGTGAACGAAATGGTAACATAACTGCCATTTTTTTATTTTTTAAACTACGTTCTTTTTTTTTAGATATTCTTTTTATCTTGATGAATTGGCAATTTGATTTTATTTAAATCGCGTAATGGCGTATAGAGCATATAGGGAATGAAGAGAAAAGCATAAGGTGTATAGAGAATAGAAAAAAAACCGGAGTATATAAAGAAGAAAAGAAAGACGGGGCATATAGAGATTAAAAAAAACATAAGAAATAGAGAAAATTAAAAAAAGAATATAAGATACAAGGATGATATAAAAAATATAAAAGATATAAGGATATAGAGCATATAGAAAAATAAGATAAAAATAAAAAGGATTACAGAATGGAAAGATTGCCTTTAGTAATGCGCATGTTGTTGTTAAAGATATAATAGGGCGCGATTACATAAAACTGGTTTCCATTCGGTGGGTATTGGACCAGACCAACTTGATGACAAATGTCATTTACACTTATAACTGCATAAGTCGGTTGCGTTTGGTGGCCTAGTGTACGGGTGCTTTGTGACCGTTGTTTGACGATAGGTACTGATGAGTCATGACCAGCCGCGTCATGTTCCTTCATGACCTCCACGAAAGCAAGAAAGTGTGGGAAGCCATAGAAATCTACATGCTGAAAGTAGAACTGTACTGTACCAACGAGCCAGCTGTGAACAATTACATTACGGTTGCTAAAATAAATAAATAAATAGAATGTAAGCAACTTTTGATTGTATATCGAAAAATATTATACTTACTTTCTATAGGGGCAAGTAAACATCACGTAATGGTTGCCACGGCTGGTCTCGTTCTTCTTTCTTCGGTACATGCATGAGGAATATACAGTCGAGACCATCCACAGACGTGCAGCTACAACAACAACAGAGTCACCAAACTCGTGGCCAGTCAAGCCTGTTGTTCTCCGGTAGTATTTCAATAAAGCTTCCTTCACACTAGGGCCGCCTACACCTTCCACCGAATCATCGTTCAAATTAACAAACTGATGAAACGGCTCCCACAACTGCGCACCACTAGGATCATTAGGAAGGTCCATGTAGCTCTCTCTTCCATATGGCTTTGGCCGAATGAGGTTGATTTCATCACAGATGCTGATTGCCGTGCTGGTATAATTGTGAATCGCAAATCGCTCGACGAGAAAACTGGCGTTTCGGCCACCCTTTGATTTGGACTTAATCAATTTTGAGAAGACGCCAATTACTCTCTCCATTGAGCGAGTGGAGTAGCATCGCAGGGGGCCTTGCTGCTTGATGATATAGGGTATATGGACCAGGTAATGTTGCACTGGTCGGAAAACACTACGAGACAGGGTATTATTCTGGACTTGTTGGTATAAAAACGAGTGCCAGTGCTTGAAGTATCTATTGTTAATATTTAAAAAATGGTAACAATCAGCTATTTGTAATGATAATATATGAGACGTATAATAACTTACGACTCCATCTCATCAAGCAATTCTGATGTCAACGTCCATTGCAAGGCAAGCGCGCAACCTTTCACGAGAGATAATAGAGCTGTTTTAACAGCCCTATTTGGTAAATAAGGCACGACCAAAGTGGGGACAAGGTATAAGAGAAAGTCAAGCCAGTCCACTGCGCGAGTACCATCGATCTTGGCAAATACGTTGTCGAAACTGCCTTGAAATGAGGTGGGTATATATTTTCGTGAGCTGGTGATACAGTTTCCGATTGTTACAAGGTCTGCTCTTGGTATATGAAAAGGGTATTCGGTGGTATTGAGGGTATTGTCTGGATGGGTATAATAAAATTTGGTTTCCTTTGTGAGGGTGACGGTAATCAGGTCATACACAAGCTTTCCAATCCCTCTTGCAATTAAATGAAGTTCATCTAATGCAAAAAATGATGATCCAGAGAAGGTTGATAGTTGGGTATATATGCTCGGCTGGTATATGTTCTTCGACTATTACAAGCAGTTATTTAGTATGAAAAAAAGATGGCTAATTGAACATTTGTATACTTACAGGGTTGCCTACTTTGAAGTCTTCCAAAGGTCTTAACCGGGCGGAAATGTCATCAAAGTACATGCCATGCCGTCTGTTAGTAGGGCATTTGCCTTTGGTCTCACAAAAACGGCAACCAAATAAACTTGTATGGGAACCAATGTGGGCCATATCAGCTACAGCTGGAATATCGCCAGAAGCAAGCAGAAGATAGACCTTGGATCTGCAAAGCTCCACTCCATTGTGCTTGACAACCAAGCCATGTGCCTCAAGATCTCGCAATTCATTGATGATGGGTATAAGAAAGGAGTCCAAATGAGTTGGCTTCTTGGGGCCAGGCAAGATTGCCAGTTGCAAAAGGTATTTGTTGGTATATCTAAGTATTTTATTAGTAATTTTTTTTTTAAAAAAAAATGTAATAATAATAATAAATAGTAATAAATTAATTAATTACCTGATGGATGGGTCTAGGTTGAATATTATGCAATGGATGATGGTATATGAGTTTTTGCCTTTCTTTTGATTGACAAACCCATCGGTATAAAGCCCAATGGCAATATCATCGGGATTGGAGAACAGGCCCTGCTGCACCAACTGCTTGTAATTGTCACCATCAAAAATGTCGGTTAGCTGACCAGCTACAGATTCCCGGTTTGCTCTGTAACAGAGGAGTTCTCTTGTGGCTGGATCTGCCAACATTTGAGAAAGCATATCCCCAACTGACATAAGTTTCATACTGGCGGCTGGTGTCTGACTTTGATCGGGATCAGTCTTGTATCGCGGTTTGCCGCAGTCAACACAAGATTCCTGGTCGTCATTAATGCCATACAATCGACAACCACTAGAGCAGACATCATACTCATGGCCCTTGACACTTGACTTTGACTTGAGCAAAGCATCAACAGTTTCGCCATGACTGATCTTAGCCCCAGGTTCTAAAAAAAAACGATATCACTACATGTTAGTGATCTGGAATTAAAGTACAAGGTAACAGAAAATATAATATTTTACCCATCATTATATCGTCATGGTCTCGGATGACAGTGTTTATAAATTGAACAATGTCTCTATATGCTGCTCTAGCAATTCTATGCTGTAGCATCAATTGAGACAGATGAATACTCATCAACTCGGCCTTGGTAAAAGTATTTGTACTGATTCGGCTGCTGTCGTAAATGTGAGCTTCACCCTCACTGTCCTCAAAATTACATGCGCACTTATATGAAATAGTATTATCAAGCTCCATAGACTCCATAGTATATTCTGTAATACATTATTTAGTAATTGGAAAATAAATAATACAATTACAGCTCTTTTCATTACCTGAATTGCTAACAGATTCATCTTCATTACTAGTATCATTTTCGTCATGGTACATGTCAACATCATCCAGAATAGACTGGTCAATTTCAGTCATTGTTGCTGAATCTCCTCTGTGAATTCTCTTGTGGTTTTGCAGCTTCTGGTAGTTATCAAAAAACAAGACACATTGATCACATTGGTATTGCTGTGTAGATATTCTATCTCTCTGCTGGCTGGAGTTGGAAGAAGACATATTGGTTGGGTTGGTACGTATGTAATATATAAAATAAAACTGCGAAGAGGATTTTGGTGCTATTTATTAAATGTAAAAGACATCTTTATATACTCTTTATTTTTTTAACCAAAATGCTTGCGGCTCTTTTTCTTTTTCTCTCTCATAATGATGATATAGCAATGATTACAGTAATGTCAATGCTAGGTGAAACACCTGTCAGTAAATAATTCCCGTGGTTGGAAAGATTCTTCTTCATTAATAATTGTGATGTAAGTTAAAATACTTCTTGGTTGACAAGGGGGTACCATTAAAAGAGCACCGGTGAAACAGACACGTACTCTTTACTTGTGAGCGATTAGATATTCTTTGGGCTTTATAAAGAGGTATATGTATATTTAGGATAATTAATGACCAAATAATTTATTTTTTTTAAATAAATTATCAATTACTCTCTAATACCAAAGGCAAAGAAAAACAGCCTTCTAATAATTAACAGTTAAAAAAAAGTATTACTGTCTAAACACATTGGTAGAAAAGACATATTTATATTATCTATGTTGTACTAATAATATTTTTGAGATAGTGAATATATATTTAGCTAATAGCATTATTTTCTTGTTTATGTATAAAACTTAAAGAAATAGATATAGATAATGAGGGCTATAGTCTGATACTCTTTTACTGACATCATCAAGATAAGCACTACTGATCGAAAAGGGTGTTAATTGAAAATGCCGATGTGAGTTAAAGCACACCTTTTTCAAAAATGTACGGTTTCAGTCAAAAATGCCCCTTGGTAAATAATAGTAATGACAGTTAAAATTATTTTTACCTTTGATGACAGCATCAATCAAAACGCGTTTTAGTCGATAATGATAATAAGTATGATATGAACTTGAGTATCATAACATTTACTTTAATGTTGATAAAAAGGGGCTAATTAACTATATGATGTTCAGATGTTATATAGCTACTGTAGAGTATATTTAAAGTTATAATTTTAACTGGTACAGGGTTTTGTCATCGAGAACTTTAACCAAATTTCATGCTATATCTGCAATATGTATAGAGTTATATTATTATATCATATACTTTAAAACGTTTAATATGTAGACGGTGCAAAGTATGAACATTTATACATATAATATTGATTTAAAGTCTAATTCATTTTATCTTTATATTTCTTACAGTTTTGTTGTGTCGACACAAAAAGACTGTATCATGTTCACATGAGCTACTGCAGACAGGTGCAGACAGGTGCATACAAGTGCATAAGCATCCCTTCTTTTATATGTTTTGTTTGTACATCTGTCTGTATCTTTTTCATATAAATAGCTATCAATTGCTTGTAATAAATCGTTGCCTTTCTCAAACTCAAATCGCTCTTATTCTACTTGTCTAAACTATCACCTTTTCTTTTCAACTCACTGCTTATAGCTAAAAAAAAACTTAAACATGTCCGATATTAACACAACTCTCCTCAACTCAATTCAAAAGATTGAGGTTGATCTTGCTGAAATCAAGCAAGCATTGCGCGAGCTTCAAAGGCAATTCAGCAATCAATTTGCGCCAGCAGTCAGTGCGGAAGATCTAACTACAATGCAACAAAGCATTATTGAGCAGAGTTGTAAGTCATATATATTCTGTGCTTAGATGTTTATTTACTTTATTAATATTGTCATACATTTTTTGTAGCTCTTGAGCGCATTGCCGAGTCTGTGAAAAGAGCCCAGCTCACAGAGTACCCTGATCAGCTCGGTAAGCGAGTAATCAATACTGGCGGCGAGTTCAAAGGAAAAAACGAAGCACAAAAATACAATCTGTTGCTTCAGATTCTTCACGAGCAGGACTGGAAGGCGCGCTGCAAAGAAGTTCCACAAGGGCAGCCTTTGCCCCCATTAGTCCCTCTTTCAGACCATGATTTGACAGTAAAAAGACTGCATCTCAAAACATTAGGCCGTACGGTAAAGCATGATATCATTGACAAAGACTATCCTGCGGCCTCAAAAGAATGGAAGAATATCCCAGAGAAAAACCGGGAATACTACATGATGCATTTGGAGAGGTTGGCGAAGAATGGTGGATTGCACATCCACCAATGTAAAAGAATGTGGTGTGCAAGAAGCCTTCTTCAGGAAAGCTTCAAGAGCGACAACCAGACGCACAAGAGAAGAATGGCAGAGAAGAACAAAGTAAGTTTATCAATTAACAAATCTATATATTGTAAACTTTAATTAACATCGTTTCCTTTTATTATGCTATAGACACAGCAAGACATAAGTGATTCTTCGCTTTCTTCTCCTGATATGTCAGAAACTGGTGATGTTGAGTCGCCCATAATGGCAGATGTGCTGTAAGTTACCATTGTTGCTTTTTCTCATGCGCTGTTAATACAAAACTAATATAAACTTCTTACTCTTTTATGTAGGTCTCCTCCACCCACAGCAAGTGTCGAGCCTGCTCGCAAGAGAAGCCGAAGATCGTAGTTTGGCTGCTGTGATTGGCCGAGTTTGATTTTTTTAGTCTGTCTTTAGTGCATTTTTTTTCTTATCTCGTCATTTTTCTTTTTATGTTTTTTATTCCTTTTTTCTTTCATATAAAAAATTTATCGACCTCTTTCATATGATTGCTAATGTTGTGATTACAAGAATTTGAAGCTAATGTACAGCATCTACAATTCCGCTACATTCAAATATAAAAGGAAATAGTATATAGCCTTTTTTTTGGGAAAAAAATTAATAGTAATATTTTTGTACTGATATATTATACTTGGGAGTCGTTCTATTATATGTAAGTATATTGAGTAGAATAAACACGTTAAGCTTTCTAACAAGATGCTCATTCTGGTTGTATGAATCAGATTCGAATTAGCTTCATGTTACATGACTTGAATCTTTGCTCAAGTTTTTCTTCTTCTACAATAACGACTTTCTATAGTGCTTATGTTTTATTGCTTTTCTTATATATAGATCTTAAATATTAATACATTCTTTAATATATATATATATTCTTAGAGTAAATGCTTATTTTACTGAACAAGTAAGCATATTATATAAAGGTAAGCATTATAATAATATTATATCTATTTATTTATTTTAAGTTTTTTCTCTAATATTAGTATATTTGTAGAAATCGGTAAAAAATAATAAGTGCTATCTAAGATATATTAGAATACCCAAAGTATATGAAATACAATTTGAATAGTAGTGTTTTACTGCATACGTTTTGCAGTAGCTAAACAGAACCATTTTTTATTGCGAGTGGCCGATGGAATTGTTTTTTCATTATTACTATTATTATTATCATTTTCATTTAATAAAACATGCATTGAAATAAAGATTCAATTCAATTAAACCCGATTCAATATTGTATAATAAAAAACAGACCATTCTGTTAAAGCTGCAAAGGAAAAACAAGAGGTTGTGCTAGAATTGAAAGCAATAGAACAAAAGAAAGAATGTAATAGAGGAAAGGAAGGACGCTTGATTTTTTTTTGAAAAATGGTAACAGTGCCTGTTTTGGCTTTTTACATAATAAATAACTGCCATTTTTTATTATGAAAAAAATGGTAACAGTGCTTGTTTTGGCTTTTTACATAATAAATAACTGCCATTTTTTACTATGTAAAAAATGGTAACAGTGCCTGTTTTGGCCTTATACAGAGTCATAACTGCCATTTTTTATTAAGTAAAAAATGGCAGTTATGTTACCAAAGTGGTAACATGTTACCATTTTCTCCGCCGTAGTGGATATTAAAGGTCTGAGAATATTTATATGCGATGAATATTATTTTATGAATATATCTAAAATAACTTCTTTGAATACTAAATGAGAATTGGCCTTTGTATTACTTTATTTTGAACTCCATCTAATATATGCTTATCGCCTTTTTGTCTTTTTGTCTTTTTGTCTTTTTGTCTTTTTGTCCTTCCATCCTTCTGTCCTTCGGCCTTTTGGCTTTTTTTTTTTTACTTTTTCCCCATTTTACTGTTTTCTCTCTTCTCTCTTTTTCTCTTCCATTCTTTTTCTTTCCAACTTTCATTATTTTCACGCATTTTTCTAGTAAGATGACTTATTTAAAATAATATATATATATATATAATTAAAAATAATAATTGTTTCTGTTGTTGTAGACACTAGCGTTTTATTTTCTTCTGATGCATCTTCTTCACAATGGTCATCCGGATTAGTGAAGGTTAGTAAATATACTTCTTGCTATCAGCCCATAACATTATTCTAACTTTTTCTCTTTCTTTCATAAAGATCATATTGCCAAAAATACTCTCTATAGTTAAACACGGCTATCAACATAGTAATATTTTATATCTCTTTTTTATTATATTATGTTTTAATATTTATCTAACCAAATATACTTTTTATTATAGGTGAACGTTCCTCTCACGAACATGCCGTAGATCAAGAGTCTTTATCCCATGCTACTGACATTGCAATGATAAGTCTTTTTTTGTAAAGAATATCTATATGTTAATATTATTGCTACACTATAATAATATAACATTTTCTTTTACTAGATGCTATATTAGCTCTTGAAAAGTACTTCTTGGCTTACAAATGTATTCTCTTGATTTATAAAGGTAAATGAATTTCTCTAGTATCCAATTTATCCGAACTAATTTTTGTCAATTATTCTCATAGTCAAAGAAATCATATCAAACGTCATCTTTATCATCCTCAAAAAAAATTCTGTCTATTCTCAACAAACAGCTGTTATATAAGTATAAATTTATAGAAAGCATAATCCTTTTGATTGAACACACTTCTTGCTCATACTTTCTAAACATTACTCTATCATATCAAACAGCATATTGTTTTTATTTTTCAGGCATTTTATTTTTTGGGTAAAGAACCACCCAATCCAAAATAATATCAAGCAGACCAGTAGAAAGGATCCAGGATATACAATAGTACTATTAGATCATCAGTCCAGAACAATTCTTTTTTTTAATAAATACAAAAAATAAATTATATTTTAAACCAATAATAACTGAATATCAAGTAATTGAGGGAGCATGCTATGGATAACCTCATAATAAAAAGTGTCAAAGATTAGTTAAAACAGTTAACAATCCTATCTTTACTAAAAAGTTTTCAGTAAAAGTAACTTTATTACATGAGTCAAGTACCTGCATATTGTTCTTTAAACTGGCATGACCCGTGTATCACAATAAAGTGTAAACTTAAACTAAACCTTCTTAATACTTCATACTATGCCAGTGCACACACAGAAATACTAATGCGCCCTACTCGGTCATTTTTCCAAGATTTATTCCACATCTTAGGTGCGGCACAGCACTTGTTCTCAAGCTACCTTTAGTACTATATCAAATCACACCAAAGATAGAAGCTAAACCCCAAAATTATACTATATTACAGGCGGTTTTACAGCATAGTATTTCAGTGGATTTTTGCAGTGTAACTGCAAACTTTCAATCATGATGTTTGTTACACAATCTATAAGTTACTGTCTGGACTATTCAATTTGTTGCTGCAAAATCAAATGTTGTTTACTTATTTGATTCAAGAGTAGTTCAATGTTGGTTAAGATTGTATTTCTGTAAGAATTAATAATAAAGACCAGAAGTTGAAGAATTTCAGCAGATAAATCAGTGCTGCTGCTGTTGTTGTTATTATTGTTCATTTTGAAGATGTTAAATAAAAGGTTGTTGTTTAAGAAAAGATAACTAAATAGGAAAAAGGCAGATTATTTTAGCATATCTTTTTATTTTTTCAAAACAAGACAAAAATAAAAAACACGTGATGTTCCTTTTAGAATGCTTGCAATAATAATATATTTTCTATGCCAATAATTTTTCAGGCAACGGCAAGCACCTATTGTTATAAAAAAAACAGGGAATGATGTAGTATACACACTACAATTGAGTGAAATACAAACTTCACAATTCAGAACAGATACTAAAATTGCTAATGAACCTGGCAAGATCACATCTCAGGAACGTAACACACACCAGACACTCATACACTTCATACTGTTTCAGTGATAACCAACTATTAACTAATGAAGATCTTAAATTAGGGAACTAAATGTCCATATAAACAGCTATGATCTTCTTTCTTAAATAAACAACACTCTCACAGTACCTATTGTTCCCTTTCTGAAATTTATTCATATATCTCAAATGAAAACAAGATTTTTCTGTGCACAGAAAATCTCCTCTTACCACCAAGGGCACGGCATCACATCAACAAACTATCAATGTCAGCCTCTTATAACTGGGACAACATATCACAGCAAACCACCAGACAAACCCACCAAGCAGACTAACCTTCTGATACCGGACACCACAACATGATTTGGCATTGACCTTTTTTATAACACGCATAACAAAAACATGACGCATGATATGTTAGGTTTGTTGTAGATTGTAACAGATTACTTGGTAAATGAAATACAAGGATAATAGAATAGAACAGAAGACAGATACAGCAAAAGACGGCAAGCAGCAATAGTTGACAGGTAAGAAAAGAGAGAACAACTGATAGAATTGTTGTTAAAATCGAGAGAGAGAAAGGTGTATGAAAAGAGAATGATAAAACAAAAAAGTAATAACCAATGAGGAGACCAAAACCAACAAACAACCTTCCTAAAACCAAGAAACCAATATGTTATGTTGCAAGATGATATAGACCACAAAGAGAAGAAAACAAGAAAAAATACTGAAACTGATCCAAGGATTGATTGATTGATTATTTATTGAGTTGAGTTTACTTCTCTTTTTATAGTCAACAAGATTTTAAATTGATAATAAAAGTTTGGAAAAAATAAAGATAGTAAAAATAGAATGATAAATAATCAATACAGCAAGAATAGAATATATGAATAAAAATACGGTAAAAATATTGTTGTGGTGGTTGAAGTCTTTAAGAAGTTGTAAAAGAAATAATTCAAAATTTGAAATGAGGAACAACGATTCATGAGAACTTGTGTAGGGTTTGTTTATTGAGAAAGATTTGATATCAAAGTTTGATGAGGTTCCTACACTGAACTACTACTGTTGTAAATGAGTATTGACTACTGCTGTAATTGAGAATAAGTCTGAAGGACACAATATAAGGCCTCAGCTATTTCAGTCAAAGGTGTTTACCGATTACTTTATTATTTAACACACAGATTTAGCATGCATGATAGTGATTATATTTCATATGATGATATCACCATAATATGGGATACATCAGTGGATTATTATAAGCATAATTATAACTCATAAACACATTTACTTTCGATGTTAATACTTCATTAGGACTACACACATTTATATAATTAATCATACATTAATTATCCCAAGATCACGTTGCTCTGATTAAGGCTCAGATAGGATCGATTACCTGACCCCAGTCATATAATTTTCCCAATCCAAAACAATATAAATAACAGTAGTAGTTCAGTGTAGGAACCTGGTCAAACTTTGATACAAAATCCTTTCTCAATAAACAAAACCTACACAAGTTCTCACAAATCTTCGTTCCTAATCTCAAATCTTCAATTCTTCCTCTTAAAAACTTCTTCAACTTCAACCACCACAACAACTACTACTATTTATATTATTTTAGATCAGGAAAATTATATGACTGGGGTCAAGTAATCGATTTTATCTGAGCCTTAATAAGAGCAACGTGATCTTGGGATAATTAATATATGATTAATTATATAAATGTGTGTAGTCCCAATGAAGTATTAACATTGAAAGTAAATGTGTTTATGAGTTATAATTATGTTTATAATAATCCACTGATATATCCCATATTATGGTGATATCATCATATGAAATATAATCACTATCATGTATGCTAAACCTGTTTGTTAAATAATAAAGTAATTGGTAGATACCTTTGACTGAAATAGCTGAGGCCTTATATTATTTCCTTCAGACTTATTCTCAATTACAGCAGTAGTCAATACTCATTTACAACAAATATAATAATAAAGATACTGATGTTGCATAGAGATATTGGCAAGATGAATTATGTGCGTTGTAGAAGAGAAATGTTATTAGCATGGGGGACTATGATTTTGAATGAGTACAATGTAGACAAATATGTTAACAAGAGAAAAGGAAAAGGTATTGTTTGTAGAAGGAACAGAGAACAGAAACAAGATTTTTTCTGTGTACAGAAAAATTCTCCTCTTACCACTGAGGACATAACACCACATCAACAAACCATTAATATCAGCCTCTCATAACCAGGATGACACATCACAGCAAACCACTGGACAAACCTACTAAGCAGACTGACCTTCCAGTACCGGACACTACAACATGGTAAAATGCCAGATCTACCTACAACACACATGACAAACTGATGTGTGTGGTGCTTGTATTTGTGGTAAATGTTGACAGGTGATATTATCACGGTTTTCGAGATTTGAATGGGTTTATAGATGTGAAATAACCTCTCTTTTCTATAAGAGAGAAAAGACAAACTCAAAAGAGAATGTAGAATTAAAGATAATAAAATCATTAAAAGAAAAATAAGAGAAAAACAGTACTATTGATCAATCTCAATAGACTTAACTCAATATACTCGGATAATCAAACAAGTAAAATATCAACAGTATTAAATATTAAGAGAACTTGTTGTCAGAAAATAAGACGAAGAAAAATACATGTTTATTAAATGCAAGTATTGCGATATTTATAGTTTTGCAATTGACTTGTTGAATAATTAAATAAATAAAATTATAAAAAAAAAAGTTGTATAATTGACGATTTATTAAATATGATTTGTTCTTTACTATCATTAAGTACAAATAAAATAATATAATTATTAAGTCATAATCATGAAGATAATTATGCTTGTAAGAATATATAATAAAAATAATATTAATTCAAAGTTGATTTGTTCAGTTAAATATAGTGAGAAAATAAGATATGATGTGTGGTTGCCTAAAGTTATTGTTGACAGGATAATGCTTTTTCGTTGTACTTATTAGTGTTTTGTTCTACAAATAGAAAAATTGCTTTATATTCAGCCTTGGCCACTGTTGGAAAATCAAAAAATAATAATAATAATAGAATATAACACTGCAAAAGACAACCGATTTAAGTAGCTTAATTTTTGTTTAAATCCTCCAAAAATCAGTGGTTTATGTTCAATTATAGTTCGGTATTTGTTACAAAAATTGGTTCATTTAGTTAACCAAATGATGAGATTATAGATACTAAAATCAATAGATAAATTGAGAGTTATAATTCCCCCTTTTCTTGAAATGTTATAATTGTCTGTAATTCTGATTATATATTCACCCATAACTTCAAACCGTACCTAAACCCTACTTGTTATGGAATTGGCTTTGAACTCTCTACCTCTTAAAGAATTTTATTTGCTTTAATTACATGATATTATTGGATAGACCTCACTAAAATCGACCTAGAATCAGTCTGAAATCTGACAGGAACCAGCATTCAAATGAATGATTGTAAAAAAAAACTTAAATAGATCTTGTTGACATCATCAAGAGATGACGCATTTGAAATAGAATCTCATGGAAAAAATGGTTTTTATTGATTTTTGAATGGTTGGAAAATATATTTAGCTATTTAATATGGACCACTAATACTTCTTTAAAAGTGTGTATCCGAATAGTACGACTTGTATACATGTTATACTTTCATTTATTGGACGGCTTGAATACATTGGATGACCTAACTTATACTATACTTCCCTACCTTATCAGTTTCATGTATTCGGTGCGTTTTTTGGTTTTACACTTCTTTAACTGAAAATGAAATCCTTGGTATTTTCTTGGAGAATACGTTTGTTTGGAACTACATTAGCTTAGAGCAAAAAAAAGATACAGAAGTATTAATACAGGTTTCTTTATGAAATAAAATGAAATAACATACTTACTAGATCATTTATGGGGGTTCATAACAAATCTCGTGATAGAATAAAAATCCGTTTGATTGATATTTTCTTTTAAATAAAAAGCAAGAAATAAAATAAACAACTTTATTAATATGTACGCTTTGATTGTAAAGACACTTGAATTACTTACATATTAT